GGGTTGTGGATTGTACGGGAGGACAAACGGTAGGACTTGATTGCCCTTAGGTTTAGCACTCCCGTTCAAGAGGTTATGTCTGGGGGTTGTTCTGGCTTTATCTATTGCTGTGGTGAGTATCCCCTACTGAGAAATCGTTGGCGGAGATTCTCGCATTCTACTTCAAAATCTATGTCTTAGCTACAAATTTTCCTGATTCGTAAGGCTTGTGAAAATGGAATGTTTTGTTTCTGGTGTCTTGGGTGGCTACGTTGGTAGTGCACATATTGAAAGGCTTTCGTGGGTTTGTTGTGAATGCGGCTACCTAGTGTTCTATCCTCGTTCAAGTACACTGTTGTGTCTAGGAAGTCTACCGACTGGTCACCTATCTCTGATGTGAATTTTATCGTGGCATGGAAGGAGTTTAGAGCCTCTAAAAAGGAGGTAAGATCCTCTCGGGTGTGAGGCCATATAGAGATGTCGTCAATGCATCTCCACCAGACTAAGGGGATATTTTTGCTAGAGGATAGAAATCTAGTTTCTAGGTAATCCATAAAAACTATGGCATAGTTGGGGGCCATTTTGGTACCCATTGCCGTACCTTGGGTTTGTAGGAAGTGTTCTTTATAAAATCTAAAATAATTGTTTATAAAGATTAGTGCTATCATACGAAGTATGATCCAAGTTGCAGGGGATTTCTCAGTTCTACTATCGTCTAGCGCTAATTTGGCGGCTCTAATACCGTCCGTATGTGGGATTGAAGTGTATAGTGATGACACGTCCGCCATGCATAAGAGGCTGCCCGGCGGGAGTGTGTCAAGTGATTCGATTTTTAGCTCACCTGGCCCGAAGGGCCAAGTCAGCTTATGGCATGGTGCGGCGTCCGTAGTCCGTCCGTCCGTCCGTCGTCAACATTTTACTTTAAACAACTTCTTCTCAGTAACAATAAGGCCTAGGGTGATGATATTTGGCCAAAGGCATGCTGGGATGAAGGGCTACCAGGTTTGTTCAAATAAATAACCTTGACTTGTATTATATTCTTCTGAATAACCGATAGGCCCAGGGTGATGATATTTGGCCAAAGGCATGCTGGGATGAAGGGCTACCAGGTTTGTTCAAATAAATAACCTTGACTTGTATTATATTCTTCTGAATAACCGATAGGTCCAGGGTGATGATATTTGGACAAAGGCATGCTGGGATAAAGGGCTACCAAGTTTGTTCAAATAAATGACCTGGACTTATATTAAAGGTCCCAGGGGCCAAATATGTTTAAAACCTTTCAACACCTTCTTCTGAATAACCAATAGGCATAGGGTGATGATATTTGGCCAGAAGCATGCTAGGATGAAGGGCTACCAAATTTTTTCAAATAAATGACCTTGATTTATATTCAAGGTCACATGGGTCAACTATGTTTAGAACATTTAAACAACTTTTTCTGAATAACCAATAAGCCTAGGGTGCTTACATTTGGCCAGTAACATGCTGGGATGAAGGGCTACCAAGTGTTTTTTAAATAGATGACCTTGATTTATATTCAAGGTCACAGGGGTCAAATATGTTTAAAACCTTTAAACAACTTCTTCTGAATAACCAAGAGGTCTATGGTGCCTAAATTTGGCCAGTAACATGCTGGGATAAAGGGCTACCTAGTTTGTTCAAATAAATGACCTTGGTTTATATTCAAGGTTACAGGGGTCAAATATGTTTAAATCATTTAAACATCTTCTTCTGAATAACCAATATGCCTAGGGTGATGATATTTGGCCGGTAACATGCTGGGATGAAGGGCTACCAAGTTTGTTCAAATACATGACCTTGACTTATATTCTAGGTCACAGGGGTCAAATATGTTTAAAACATTTAAACAACTTCTTCTGAATAACCAATCGGCCTTGGGTGCATAAATTTGGCCAGTAACATGCTGGGATAAATGACATTGATTTATATTCAAGGTCACAGGGGTCAAATATGTTTAAAACATTTAAACAACTTCTACTGAATAACCAAGAGGCCTAAGGTGGTGATATTTGGCCAGTAGCATGCTGGGATGAAGGGCTACCAAATTTGTTCAAATAAATGACCTTCATCCATTTTCAAGGTCACAGGGGTCAAATATGTTTAAAACCTTTAAACAACTTCTTCTGAATAACCAAAATGCCCAGGGTGATGATATTTGGCCAGTAGCATGCTGGGATGAAGGGCTATCAAGTTTGTTCAAATGAATGACCTTGACCAACTTTCAAGGTCACAGGTGTCAAATGTCTTAAAATCTTCAAACAACTTCTTCTCAATAACCAAAAGGCCCAGGGTACTGATATTTGGCCTGTAGCAATCAGGGCTACCAAATTTGTTCAAATGAATGACCTTGACCCACTTTCAACCTAATGTCATTGTTTGAAATTCAAGGTCACACTGATATTCTGCCTGTAGCTGTATTTTAGTCCACTTTTAAGTTTACAAGTGTGAGATTAATACCAGATGAGCGATGCAGGCCCATTGGGCCTCTTGTTTGTAGAAAGTCCGTGGTATCTCTAAGGTATGATTTGGTTTGTTGTGCCAAAGGTTTTAGGTGGTAATCTACAAAAGCTGATAAATTTTCCGTGCAGCTACCTATTTGTGATATGATCGGTCTGCCGGGATTGCCTACTTTGTGAATATTGGGAGGTAAGTAAAATATGGGCGTGCGAGGGTTCTTTGGTTTGAGAAATTCTATCGTTTGTATTTCTAGGAGGGATTGTTCAGAGATGAATTTCAAGAATAGTGATCTCAGGGTTTAAATCTGATAGAAGTAGTCTGTAATTCGACTGATTATAGAGTTGTCTATGAGCTTCCTTTAGGTAATCGGTTCCGTCTAGGTAACAATAGCGCAGCCTTTATCGGCGGGTTTGATGATGATGTCGTTGTTCTTACTACCGTGTTCTCTTCTCTAGTTGGATTGCGTGATGTATTACATTTTGTAACTCTAGTTTTGACAGATTCTGTGACAATATTCAGAAAGGTATCTAAATGGGTGTCGATGCCAGACGGTGGCGTCCAGCCTGAACGTTTCTTGAAAGTTTGTATTTCCCCACTTTGGTGATTACGAAAGAAATGTTTAATGCGTACTCTACGGTTGAATAGAAAGGTATGTGTAAGTAATGCTTCAGTACTAGGTGTCGGGGTGGGGCAAAACTGTAGCCCCTTGGATAGTAAGGTTTTTTTCTGCAGGGTTAAGTGTGTAACTAGAAAAGTTAACCACATTTTTTTTATTGTTCTTTACTTTCTTGTATTGTTTGTGCGGGATGAACTTGCGTTGGCGTGATTTCCTTCTATTTGTTTTCCCCGTCCATGGGTTGGTATGGTATACGGGGCTTAGTGCGTTTCTTTTCTACTAATGTTTCTACTACCTCTATGATGTGTTCGTTTACGTCCGGGCTAATCCTGGACTTGATCGTGGCTTTAATCTCTGTGATCTCTTTTTGAGTTACACTTTCGCGTTTGATCCAGTAAGCTAACAACGTTCTTGTTAGTGATAGGCCGAAATCAATATATGAGACTTTTCCCATTCGAGATCAAAGGTAGTGTCTGTGTCTTGTATTTGTGGGGTTACTCTAACACTTAACCCCTTTGGAATAGCTTCTATTTTAATACATTTCTCAAGGAAGCTAATATGGTTTTGACACCGAAATGATTGAATCGATAATCTCCTGTACACTTTAAAGTACGGTACACTGTTGGCCGGAAAGTGTGTTTTACCTGTTCCGTCCTCCGTTCTTTTTCTCTTGTTATCTTGGTTTTCTTGTGTTGTTTCGCTGGTACTTTCAGCTAAATATAAATGTGATACCTGTCTGTGATAATAAATACAAGTGTAATATCTGTCTGTGATAGTAAATGCATGTGTAATACCTGTCTTTGATAGTAAATACATGTGTAATACCTGTCTGTGATTGTAAATACAAGTGTAATACCTGTATGTGATAGTACATTCAGATGTGATACCTGTCTGTGATAATACATGCAAGTGTAATATCTGTCTGTGATACTAAATACAAGTGTATTACCTGTCTGTGATACTAAATACATGTGTAATACCTGTCTGTGGTAGTAAATACAAGTGTAATTCCTGTATGTGATAGTAAATTCAGATGTGATACCTAGCTGTCTGTGATAATAAAATATGCAAGTGTAATATATGTCTGTGATACTAAATACAAGTGTAATACCTGTCTGTGGTAGTAAATACATGTGTAATACCTGTCTGTGGTAGTAAATACAAGTGTAATTTCTGTATGTGATGGTAAATTCAGATGTGATACCTAGCTGTCTGTGATAATAAAACATGCAAGCGTAATAGCTGTCTGTAATAGTAAATACAAGTGAAGTATCTGTCTGTGATACTAAATGTAAGTGTATTACAGATAAATACAAGTAAAGTGTTCTACTTTCGTTTTCAAATAAATGCAACAAAATAAGAGAATATTCTCAATTACCAGATGCTTTCACTTCAATATACATAATCATTAAGACTTTTTCCCGTTTGACTCCACATTTTCTTCATTTAAAGCGTAATAGATGAAATGCAGCAGGTAATCGGAGCAAGTGACCACCCTTCAAGGCTTCATGTTAAGTACCATAACGCATTCGGAAACTCTTGTTTTTCCCCCATTCGGAACACAAAATAAGAAACTAAAAAAAATGAATTAAAATTACAGAGGAGCAATGTGCCACATTCGTCACCTACACTGTGTGAATATTTGTTATAGTCCTTAGTTATGCATATGAATTTTTTTGACAATTAGGTCACTAAAGTGTCCATCTTGAATTTTGAAAGTTAAAGTTACTCAACAGAGCTTTATCCAATTTTGCATGTTGATTTTCATAGGTCCTTAGTTGTGCATGTTTCATCTTAAGGCTGATCAGAAAAAAAGAAATGGTCACCAGGCAGATCTTTCTCAAATTTCAAAATTAGGTTCCCCTTTTTACAGATTAAGTAGTCCTAGTAAATAGGCCAAACAACCACCTCACTTTGAAAGAACATTGTCAAACATAGCAGTATCTGTTCTGATCAATATTTACCATAAGGAGCATCAACTTTTAATTTTACACGACTCAATCCAACAGAAGTATTATTCAAAGTATCGTCAGCTTGATGCGATTTCAACACAAATACTTCATGATGTACACATTCAAAATAATAATCAAGGAATTAGATTAGAATGCAAAGAAGTCTCAACATTCAAAAATTTGCTGACTGATGTAATTTCTTTTTTAACTAACCAGGCCTAAGAATAACTGGGCCTAGGCTGCAGCCTGGTGGTGAAGTAGCCATATTAAATCATATCTTGCTTGTCTCCTTCTGATTTCCAGATACACAACCATATAGAGATTTGTAATCATCTATCCCTATATCTACAGTGTGGTGTCCACAGCTTTCAATAATAATCTATGAAGTCGTCTTCATCCTCACTTTCCAAGTCATAGAATATTTTGGTCCGTGTAACAGACTTTCTTTTTTTTTGAACACGCGCTGTAACCACTTTCTTCTGTAATTCATCCCCATCCTGTTTCTCCGTAGTAATTATACTTAGCATATGCACCTTAATCTGTTCTGGGGAAAGAAAATGGGTTTTGGCAAAGTGCATTTGCAGAGCACCTTTGGACCCATATCTTATCAAACACCCTGCCACTGTGCAAGGGAATTGCCTAGCTTTGATATGGGAAATCATGTGCGAACGTAGGGTACTGTTATCACGACAAGACTTTCCACAGCGATCACATGTAAACTTGTAACCTTCTTGAGTATGCGACTTCCTATGGCGGTTTAGGGCGGTTTGGGACCCAACTACCTTTTTGCAGACCTCACATCTGAACTCTTTTTCAGAATGGCTATTTCTCATGTGCTCCCGCAGTTTGAACTTGTTAAAGAAATATTTTCCACAATGCTCACAAGCAAAATTGCCCTCGACTATGTGGACAAACTGTCGATGTTGTTGAAGGCCCCGTGGAAGTGGAAACTGTTTTCCACAGTCCTTACAAACAAAAGCTCCGTTGCCTTGGTGTGTTTCCTTACAGTGTTCGGTCAGTTCTCCGGTACTCTCCAACACCAGACCGCACTCCTGCAATTATGAAGAAATATCAAATACTGCTAATTTCACATGTAAAGCTTTCATTGATTTAAAAACTTTTACATACTCATGGTTAACATCAAGCTTAAAATTCTGGGGGTTATGTTCACCTTTTTCTCTAGACCCTACAATATGCCATGATAAGATTGAAGGCTCCGCATGCACCACCTTGTGGGTATTTTTAGTGTGATCTTTTGATGTGTATCAAAACAATCACACAGCAGTGTAAGAAAAACTGACTGGCTTTGAGTTCGGGTATCCCTCCTCTCACCTTCAAAGGACACACCGACAGGGTTCACCCTTGTGATTGGTATTCTTTAACTCATTCACCCCTGGTGACACATTTGAACTCTTCTAATTCATTGTGAAATTTCAGGGGTGAATGAGTTAAACACCAAATATCAAACAGCTACCAGGAAACTGCAAACTTTGATTTTGTCATGACGTATTGCATTTGTGCAAAAAATTCCAGCATGGGTTAAACCTCTAGCTTTTAAAGTTAACTAAGGAAATTCAGATAAATACTGGAAATCAATAGCATGCAACAATACACAAACAGCCACGCCTCAATCCATTTAGCCTCCACCAATCTGATTATCCAACTACCACCGAGTGTTTATAAGAGGACTGAAAGTAGTTCGGTATACATATATCACACTGTATATCGAGAAATTTTCGCTGCATTTTCATATTCACCTTTGTGCCCTTTCACCCTCCATGATGAGGGCTAATTTATTATTACAGTGAAATTTTACAATGGGTGTAAACTGGTTTCAAGGGCAAAACTTTGACAAGGTGAAAATGTTTCGGTATAGTGAACCAGGTACATGTATTTCACTTTTTCCCATTGATCCAGTTGTTTTACATTCCAGATACTTTAACTTGAAACCAATCTTACTGGATTGGTAAAATTTCATTGTTAACACTAAAAGTGACTTGTATTAAGTTGTAAAGTAAGGTGACATTCATTTATCTCCAAGTTCATACCAATGTTAATGTTACATTATTACCCAACAAAAACTAGGCATGTGCTACATTTGTATAAGGATCTGCAGACATTTTATTATGAAATTCAAGGCCTTTTTAAGGCTTTTTTCAGTAAAAACAAAGCCTTCTAAACAGCTATTAGCACTGCAAACCCTAGCCTGGCATTTACAAGTACGTGAAATGCTAAAATCTAAGATGGAAATTATCTCACAAGAAATACTTCTTTAACCAACAAAATTAGTATTCAACTGATAATTAAGTAAAATTCTATGCATTTGACACTTTTAAAATTCTTTTAAATATATTTTTGGTTTTCTAGGGCCTTCTCATCATTTTATGGGCTTTTTGTGGTCAACCTTTTTTCGACCTTTATCAAGGCCGGTACATATGTTGGTATAAAGATTAGTTCATCACTGCGTCTTTGTCTTTTGCACAGGTTGACAGATAAGAATCTGTGACCTGAGCCGCGCTTTCTACGTACCTTGCAGATAGCCTTGAGTTTTCTCCGCAAGTATGGGTGAAACACCTGAACATGTTTCACATAGCTGACGAGGTTTGTGTAGACCACATCGCACCTCTTACACAGCTTCTGGGTACAGTTACACAAGTTAGCAAACCATTTCCGCTTATATAGATCCTCGATGAAGCGGAAATACATTATCAACTCTTCACCTGCAAATTGAAATATTTGTGAGGTCAAGATAGCTTTTAGTGTGTCTTCTCATGTCAGTACAATGTCTAGTTTACAGTTTTCCTTTAAAAAATTCTCTTAGGATTTGTCACCTCCTGTTTTCGTCATAAATTCATAGATCATGATGCACGTGGTACAATGTATAGTTTACAAGTCTTTCTTTAAAGGTTTTTTTACGAATTGTTAGATCATTTTTTTCTGTATATCCTGCAGATCAGTTTTGTAATGCATTTCTTGTTGTATTTATAGGGCTTTCTGCGATGAACCCTATTTATGGCTTTACTGATAAACAGTTGTTTTTGGTCACATGATCTCTCTTGATGCCAGTTTAGACAGATTTCATAGAATCCAGTTTAAATACCAATCAACATTACCTCATCTATCGATTACATAAAAAATTCACCTCAAATTCCATCTTTTAAATATTATCTGAAGATATGAGTACTTTGCATATATTATTTGTCAGAGGGTGGTTATTTTGTTTAGTCCCAAAACTTTTATATTTTATTTTCAACTTATTATCTCATTTATTTAATTGAGCTTGATACCACAAGTCTTGTATACCATTTGAAAAACAGAGGTGTGCAAAATGTTATTGCATACATTTCTCACTGATTTATCTGCAAACAAATCCATTGCAGTGCTAACGTACCCTCCTGAATGTCTTCCCTGGCTACAAACCAAATCTCCTCGTTTTTACAATAACTGATCAGGTTACATTCCTGTGCATTCAGAGTGGGCCTCAGATATCTATAATAAATAACACAGTACACACTACAGATCAGTGCTCAACACAATTATCTTCCCTGATTATATTCAGGGTGGGCCTCGGATATCTACAATAAACAACACAGTACACACTATAGATCAGTGCTCAATACAATTATCTCCCCTGATTACACTCAGAGTGGGCCTCACATATCTGAGATTTTTCGTGATAATTTGCAAAGAGCCTCTTTCTCATATATCTAAACTTTTCTGCTAATGTTGATTTCATTGATAATTGCTATCAATATGGAATAGCATCCTTGCTCTCATTCAGGAATTTCAGTTTTCTCGAAAAAATCCTTCTATGTAGTCTGCAAAATAAAATACACATGAAAATAAAGATATTTACAGAGATGTAAGTTATATGAAACGATTGAAGTTTTTCTCTCAGGATTTTGTATTTCCAAACTACCGGAAGTATTTCGTTGAAATTTCGTTTGTTGGTACGTTTACACTAATATCAATGAAATCATTAATTCATTCTCTGCATAATTTCTTACAGTTCCACTGGATCTATGAAAACCTTGGAAAACATGCACACAGTAAACCTTTGATGTTACACAGTAGTTGAGAACCTTACCTGCACCAGTTACTTGTCATCTCATTGCCGGTATTGATGAAATTGTACTTAATTATTTTCTTGTCCACTGCGCTGATTGTTTCCTCTGTTTCGATAAGCCACAGATGTGTGAAGTCCATTTTATGTGAAATCTGTTCAAAAGTCATCTGTTCACCCACCAATGGTCCAAAGTGGGTGCCCTTCTCAATGATGTCCGAGGCAAACACACTTAGATCATGTCCATATCTGCTACTGAGTAAAAATTCTTTGGGGAGTGACTTTAGGGAAAGCATGGTGGAATTCAAACAACCCATATTGTCATTTATCTTCAGCCTAACTCGCCTTCGCATCAATGGACATTCAGCATTGTGGAGGGCAAGGCACATCCGACATTTCTTCTCCTCTAATTCTTCTTCCAGTTCGTCCTCATCCTTTTTCTTTTGCTTTTGTAAAGCGACATTCTCCCCCTTTTCTACTTCCTTCTTTTTCACAATATTTGGATCTAAAGTGACTGTCTCCATGCTTTTAGAATTAGATTTATCTCGTTTTTTGTATTTTGCAGGTTGTTTTGGTGGTGGGGCCACGTCTTTTGGACTGAAATGGCGTTTTGGTTTAGGATTCTTGTACTTCGGCTTCTTTTTCCTCTTTCCCTTTAATTTGCCTGTTGTCGCTCTTTCTAAAGTTTCATATTTTGGTCTGGCTTTCTTTGCTAGGGGTTCCTGTTCTTCATCACTGACATCTGATGCTTCCTTCTTTATCACAATATTTGGATCTAAAGCGACTGTCTCCATGCTTTTAGAATTAGATTTATCTCTTTTTTGGTATTTTGCAGGTTGTTTTGGTGGTGGGGCCACGTCTTTTGGACTGAAATGGCATTTTGGTTTAGGATTCTTGTAATTTGGCTTCTTTTTCCACTTTCCCTTTAATTTGCCTTTTGTCGCTCTTTCTAAAGTTTCATATTTTGGTCTGGCTTTCTTTGCAAGTGGTTCCTGCTCTTCATCACTGACATCTGATGCTTCATCATCTAAACTGACTGCCTCTTTTGCTTCATCTGCAGAAAGTGGTACAAAAATTATCTTCTTAGATACTGGATCTACAGGAAAGACACTGCCATCTTTCCTGACCATATTTCGGCTTGCTCCAAGCACAGACACCATCCTTGGTCCTTTGTTTTGAAGTTTAATCAGCGACTGTATTTGTTGTGAAGACAGTCTTATATCTATTCCTGAGGCCTGCACTGGCACCGTTGCTGTCGCCACCTTTTGTGATATTGCTGCCACTTGTTGAGACCTTTCTGCCACCTGTTGTGATGTTGTTGCCACCTGTTGTGGTGTTGTTGTTGCCACCTGTTGTGGTGTTGTTGCCACCTGTTGTGATGTTGTTGCCACCTGTTGTGATGTTGTTGCCACCAGTTGTGACACTGATGTCACCTGTTTTGAAACTGGTGGCACCATCTGGATTAGAGCTGGTGCTGTTTCTTGGTTCAATTTAGGTGATGCCACTTGTTGTGAACTTCCTGGTTGTGAAGAGGACCCTTCAACATGTGACATAACAGGTACAGTTGCCTCTGGTGTAGTTTTAGTATCAACTGGTTTTAATGGGGGTCTTGAAACTTTAATGGTGTTATAGACTGTTTTTCCAACATCCTGAGAGTCATCTTTATGGGATGTAAGTGTTCTAGTAACATAGATGTATTCTGTATTTTCACTCTGTGCTGTTGGATATTTTTTGTGATGTTTAACTTGCTTTGATTTAATCACCACTTTTGCTGGTAGTGTTGTTTCACTCTTACTGATTACAGTAGCCTTAGACTTGACTGGCTGGGGTACAGTTTGTTGGGCAATCTGTGGCGGTTTCATTATCAAACGTTGTGACCTCCTTGGTTTTTCAATAGCTTTAATGGCTTTCTTTGGACATACACTTCTCGGCTGTATACTTTGAATATGACGAATATTTGCTGGTCGATGGACTTGTTCATCCAACTGTACTACAGAATTCTCCAAGCCTGCAATGAGACAAAGAAAATATTGTGTAGTTCTTCTTCTTCCTTTTTTGAACAATATTTTCTATTGGTGTTTAAAATAAAATCATAACTGTAGAACAAATATTCCTTCATAAACATTTGTAAACAGAGAAATTGACCCTAGCAATGACATTATAACCCACTCTTTCTGTTAGGCCAATATCTGTTTTACATCCCTACATATTGCCATTAGGCCAAATCCAAATTTTCATACACTGAATTACAACAAGAGGCCCAATGGGCCTGCATCGCTCAACTGGTATTAATCTCACACTTGTAATCTTAAAAGTGGACTAAAATACAGCTACAGGCAAAATATCAGGGTTTCATTCATAAGAACCTATTAAAAGATTTAAACATATGACACATGTGACCTTGAATGTAGAACAAGGACATTATAATATTAGGTTGAACAGAGTTTATAGTCTTTCAACCCAGCATGCTTCTGGAAAAATATCATTACCCTGGACCTTTTGGTTATGCAAATCATTTAAAAATTTAAACATATATTGACCACTGTGACCTTAAATATAGGGGAAGGTCATTCAGTTGGTAGTCCTTCATCCCAGCATGTTAATGGCCAAATATAATCACCCTTGGCTTTTTGCTTATTAAGAAGAAGTCATTCAATTGTTTTAAACATATTTGACCCCTGTGACCTTAAAATATATATGTCAAGGTCATTCATTTGAACTTGGTAGTCCTTCATCCCAGCATGTTACTGGCATTATCCTAGACCTCTTGGTTATTCAGCAAAAAGTTGTTTAAAGGTTTAGAACATATTTGACCCTGTGACCTTGAAAAAAGATGCAGGTCATTCATTTGAAAAAACTGTATAGCCCTTCATCCCAGCATGCTACTAGCCAAATATCATCCCCCTGGGCCTATTGGTTATTCAGAAGAAGTTGTTAAAAGATTTTTAACATATTTGACCCATGTGACCTTGAATGTAAGTCAAGGTCATTTATTTGAACAAACTTGGTAGCCCTTCATCCAAGCATATTACTGCCCAAATATCATCACCCTAGGCCTCTCGGTTATTCAGGAAAAAAAGTTGTTTAAATGTTTTTTAACATATTTGACCCCTGTGACCTTGGATATATGTAAAGGTCATTCATTTGAACAAACTTGGTAGCCCTTCATCCCAGCATGTTACTGGCCAAATATCATCACCCTAGGCCTCTCGGTTATTCAGAAGAAGTTGTTTAAAACATTTTAACATATTTGACCCCTGTGACCTTGAATATAAGGCAAGGTCATTTATTTGAACAAACTTGGGAGCCCTTCATCCAAGCATATTACTGGCCAGATATCATCATCCTAGGTCCTTGTTTATTCAGAAAAAGTTGTTTAAAGATTTTAACATATTTGACCCCTGTGACCTTGAAAATTGATGAAGGTCATTTATTTGAACAAACTTGGTAGCCCTTCATCCAAGCATGTCACTGGCCAAATATCATCACCTTAGGCCTTTTGGTTACTGAGAAGAAGTTGTTTAAAGTAAAAAGTTGACACCGGACGGACGCCGGACACACGAGGGACGCCGCACCATGCCATAAGCTCACTTGACCTTTCGGGCTAGGTGAGCTAATAAATGACGAGGTGTTCCATTTTGGGTAATCTAAACCTTTCAAGTGAACCTGACTAAACGAAATGAAGTCTATAAATAGACACACATGCTGGTGATATCCAAGAAATACATAAAATGAAAGATGAATGTATCTATTTGACTATAGTAAAATCATTGGTGTTCCAAAAATTAAATAGGAAATATTAACATTTTCTTCAAAAACTGTTCCATTTTTTGCATCCACATATGTACAGTACATACACGGCTTGTATGAAATAGTCCTAGATACCTGGAATTATAATACGTTGGGGCTCCTGTTTGACCTCTTGGTCCTGTGGTGCCATCTGGATGATAAACTTTTGCTTCTGGTCTCCACCTTCTTCAATGTACTTGACAGCCTCTATGGCCTCGGATGCTGTGTCCACCTCCGTCTCTGTCTCCACCTTTATACCTTCGTCAAGAAACACAATCGTGTCCTGGCCCTCTAGTCCCTGTATGGCTTGGCTGCCATCATGGTGGTACACCTATAAAGTGCATTAACATTCATCATATTACATAATTGCCTGTCCATAATATTATCAGCACAGTTTGGGGTTAATTAAGATTAGCACCCTATTAACAACTAAGGTCATTCAAGGATGCGCCTCCATGTGCGAAATGTATGCATGTGGAGGTGGTATGTAGGTGTATTTGCCTCCTTGCGATAGTACAGTTTTTATGCTGACTTTAGAGTGCTACCTTGCTGAAATACCATGCTGAAGGCGCACAGCATGACACATGTATTCCACTCTTTCAAATTATAATAAGAATGAGTTAACTAGCACATATTATTAGATATCATTGATCAGTGGTACAAACATATCAATACAGATTGTATTAACATGCATCATTAGATTATAGACATCATCTGTAGCACACATGTGATGAATTACAATAACACAGATTATTAAATAACTGTATTATACGGAAGAATTCTAAGATAGTTTCTGATCAAATAACCGAAGTCCAGGACTCAGAATTCAGATTTGCATACATTTAAATCACAGAACTGAGTGTACAAAGTTCAATTTCACTCTGTGTGTGGTTGTGTAGAAAAGAACACTGCCAAAGGATTTCCTCTACCCTACAGAGACTGTGACAGTAAAGATGACTGTCATGTGGAGCTACTCAGGTACTTTGCTATCATGATTTACCTGTAATTGTCCATCCCCATCACTGGTGGTGTAGATGACTTGTCGGCTGTCAATGATTCCCGTCATTGCCCCAACAGGCTGTACACCACTAGGGTCAAATCCTTCCACCAGCTCACCAGTCTGTGGTGCGTAGTGGTACTGTATACTAGCATTCTGAATTTGGTCCATTTTTATTACCACAGTCTTCCTACAAGTAACAAATTTTAGTGTAAAGACATATTTTCTTTAAAAACAGTAAAGTAAAATGTAGAAATTTATTTGAAAACTTGTGTTTCTAGTTGTATGTCTTCCCTTTTCAACAGCTAGCCATTGCATAAGTTGAATGACTCTTGGATAAGTAGTGGTCTATTCATTTATCCAACGGTTACCTATCAGATATATACATGTATATGGATAGGCACTACTCAGTACTCACAGATGAAAGTTTAAAAGTAAGATAACTCCCTTGTTTTGTGTTGGACCAGCCAGTGAATCGAAAGCACCCTTCGGCCCTTGACAGGTACAGCTTTCACTGGCTGATCCAACACAAAACAAGTGATTTATCCCTTACATATATACATACAATGTGTCCTGGTTATGTTATATACAATACATTCAGGTCATATTTTCGCTATCTTTGCAGAGCCCTTTTAGAACATGAACACCTGGTCTTATTCTCCTTGTACTTTGTCAAGGGTTTCCATGTACCGGTAGATCTTTTCTTTGTTCATATTTTGCCCTAGTTTTATCGATTTATAATTCAAATCATGGATTTGTTGACACTTCTGTATTCTCTTGTTGATGTTGTTGTTGTTTGTTGTTGTTAATACTTTGTAATTACACAAACTTTATATATCCAACAAATTGGTTGCCTTTCTGACAGAAGTTCATGCAGAAAATTTGACTATTAGTCTTGAGTATGAAAACCCCATCAAATCATACATATATATCTCTGTAACAGACAAGCAGAAAAAGTGAGCTCATTTTGTGAAGGTTAAGAGCTTTCAAAACTAAATCTCGGGCTAAAGGGAGATAATTTATGAGAGTATCAGTCTGTGACCACGATAAAATACTAGCTGCTTCCTACTGACTGGGCTATACTTCAAATTACAGATAATGTCTTTTTAGCTCAAATTACAGATGATTTTCCCCCAAAAAACTATGCCACAAACGATTATATATAAATGCACAATTTTGTGTTCAAATCAACACCAATGCAAATTCATTTTGCTCCATGTTGACAACCATAATTGCCAAAACATCTCCCCAACAGCTAAACATATCACTCCAAAAGCCTTTTGCTCCAAATTAAGTATCTATAGTACTAAATCAACAGATGACTAAACTAATGTTACCTGAAATCTTGACACTAAATCCAAATCTTAAACCCTAATTAACCTTACCTTAAACCTTAACCATTTAAAACAAACCTAGCCCGAGTATCCTCTGGCCCTGAAACCACACATTTTGATACATAGTATCTTGTGTGGGACATCTATCTCTCAAAATGTCTAAGCCTGGTACCAGGGGCAGAGGCAACTCAGACTAAAACAAACCCCTATTCCCTAACCCTTACTTGAAACTGATTTTTTGAATATACGTACATGTATACTTACAATATGGATAACAGGATTGAGAATTTTTTAGATAAAATGATTGGCATACTAACTGACATGATTTTTTTTAATTTTTTAATTACAGTATTTACAATATGGATAGGGCACCTCATGAATTTTAAGGGCAGAAGAGTATCTAAAACAAACACTTTAACCTTAACTTGAGAAACTTAGAGACAAAATACCTGATGGACAGACATTGTAAACTTTCAGGGAAAATGAGGGGGTGTTATTGTTTAGATGTGGAGAAAGATTGAAAACAATGAAGTAGGGAGTGAATAATGACAGACTGATAAGAACAGAAATGTGAATTGTACAAAAAACGTATCTATCTCATAATCTGAGTTTTGGTAATTTTTCTAACAGAAATAGAGTTGTGTCCCTTTAAAAATTATTCAGAAACACACCAAATGCTAATGTTCTTAGAATTTAGGACTTACACATCATAGACAATAGGTCTATGTATTTCAGACACAGATCTTTTTTAACTACTGAAATTTTGATTCACAAGACCTTGACCAGGAAAATTTATATTATTTTAAATATAAAGTATAACGTATTATATATAGTGTTCAATAACTGTAATTTAAAGAAAACATGTGCAATATAGAAAGACAAGTGACTTCAAAAACTGAGGAGTCTTTAACTCGCTGCCATTTATCCTTGAATCTTATTCACCATAACAAATAACTTAAATTTTTCAAAAAGACCTACAGTATTTTTCATGGCGATAAACTAAAAATTAATTACTGTTAAGTTGGAACACTGCATTACAATTGGAATTGCCTCGGTAGCCGCGATCGCTAACGCGCAGTCATTGTACTATACTGTATGCAATCAAGCATGAGCTTTTTCAGACCACTCACTCTCCCAAGAATTTCGGTTCGATCCCCAGCGGTGGTGGAAATAAGAGAATGATGTCTGATAGAGTTAGTTGTTATCCCTCCGATGGCACGGTTATTTAGGTTTTCCCCCCGTGGGTTTTCCTCCACCACGCAAACACCATTTGTTCCCTTAGCGGCGTCGTAATAAAAGCTCTAAAGTACAGAGCTTATGTTTGTTGTTGACAATTGTACACGACGTTTAATAAAGATGATTATTATTGTTGTTATTATTATTATTTATTCAAAGTATAAGCTCTAAGCTTGTTCCAATCCCAGAGTTATTATGTAGGCAATTAACATGTTTTTATATTGAATAAATACTGTTTAAATCAAAGTTAACATGTGAACATACTTAGGCCAGACAAAACGATGTCATCGTATCATGAATGAATTACACTGCAGAGACTGTACCCCCAGGAACAACTTCAAATGTTGAACTTAATCATTCTTGGTACGGGCCGGATTTCTGACTATATTTTCAATATATTTCAGCACATTGTGTGTTTGTAATAGATACGCATAAGGAACACATACTTTCGTATCGTAATGCACTTGGAAGATAAATAGTCGCCATGCATATATCTAAAGCTGTCATAGTATACTTTACCTTCAGGAAGACGCTGAGAGTGGAAATGTTGCGACCCCTAACAAAGGGCAGATAACTTTATCCTCGATTTCATCGGTCTTTCCGCGCCCTAAGAAGCAACCGCTGTTTCGTATAGTCATATAGTCAGAAAACAATTGAAATTGCTGATCGCTGTCAGAGACATGTCCACAATTTACTGAACAAACAAAAGACTACCGACTGGCAACAGTAATAATTTAAAATACGAACAAATATTTGTCAACAAAATTTACCTACCGGAAGTAGCTGTTTGTTTTCATAAATTTCAAAGGTTTGCACGCGTTTATGTTGTAAAAAAAACCATGATCGATTTGATTATTCTTGAATTATGAGAATAAAATAGCCGACTTATGCAGTAAAATTGTACAAAATATTAATTAAATAAATGACAACAAAGAGTTCTACTTCCGGAACGTATTCCAAGCGTCGGGCGCCATTGTTTGTATTTATTTTTACCGGCATCTTAAATCCATTATAATCGGCTTTGTTTTAAACGAAGCTTGTGTAAGAGCGTGTTGTATAACACGACTAAACTTTCAAAATGTCCATTGGTGTGCCGATTAAGGTGCTTCATGAAGCTGAAGGCCATATTGTGACATGCGAAACGACCACCGGTGAAGTGTACCGAGGAAAGCTTGTTGAAGCTGAAGATAATATGAACACTCAAATGTGCAACATCACAGTCACATACAGAGATGGAAGAGTTGCACAGCTAGAGAATGTATTCCTTAGAGGAAGTAAGATAAGATTTTTCATATTGCCAGACATGTTAAAAAATGCCCCCATGTTCAAAAGAATCCAAGGGAGAAGTGGAGGAGGCGGTGGTGCTGGTCGCGGAAAATCTGCAATTTTACGAGCACAAGGTAAGACGGAAGCTTTCCTTTCGTGCTGATCTTTTGCATTTCCTCTATAACTCTTCGATCAGTAACTGTTCTTTTGACGTAAAAACAATTCAATAATAATAATTGCATTTTTTGCTTATAACATGTAGGTACTAGCCTCGTCTGTCAATACACCTGTCAATATATTATAGGTTGTATTAACAGACGAGGCTAGTACCTGTGCTTATAATAGATGTTTTCCACAATAACACGTGTACCTTTTGCACGTAGCCTGGGTTTTTATCTTCCTGAATACAGTTCATAAGTTGGCATTTCTATAAATAAAACGAATGACAATGTCTATCCAAGAGACTATCCATGCATACATCTATTGTTTTGTGTTTTGGCTGGCAGAGGAAACTGACTATCTGAATAAGTGCACTTGAGGTTGAATTGACTGCATATTTAAACCCATTTTAAATTGTTCTATTTTGACAGCTGCAAGAGGACGTGGTCGAGGAGGTGGTAGCGACCGTGGTGGTGGAAGAGGAGGAGGTGGAAATGTGTTCCAAAAGAGGCGCTGATCATAGGAAGATAATTTCATCACAGACTTTAGAAATTCATGGAGTGAATGGGGATATCATTAGCTGTTCCAGTTTCATTTCATTCACAGGATAAAAGGGGCAATGCTGATCAACTTTTATGTGTTTGTGTATCAGGAGACAGGGACTCTGACATTTAAATGTTAAACATGTATTGGTCATTTTCATCTTTGTTATCATTAATCATGAAGTTGTAATCATGTTTCTACAAGACATTGAAACAATTAAAAAAATATTGATATGGAAAATGCAGTATTATAATTTTTCATTAAATTGTTTTTATATTAATAACTCGAGGTACATTGTGTATTGCCTAAATGCCAAAATAAAGGCGAGCTACATGGAAGCTTTTCAGTCATGTATGTCGACCTGGTAAAGAACTAGGCATTTCCTACTGACCTGGCTAGGTCATTCAAAACAGAGTCTTGAACATAGAAATTTAAAATCGCCCTCAGAAAACTGCCTGGTTTATCCTTTCTTGCATTAAATATATAGCTGTAAATGTTATTACAAAAATGAGCACATCAGAACTCATGTCAGTTGTCACAGTTTAAAGGAAAAAGACAGGTTTACCCAGGGATGTTAAATTCCACCTGCCCCTCTTTAGGCTGTTATTTTTTTAATGTTAGATCAAGAGAAAGTTATCAATATTTAATTCCAAAATATAGGTAGGTCTCACAGGAGTCTTCCAGTTCCCATCCTCGATATCCAGGGGTTATACCCCCTTTCGCTCTCTACACCCCTGGATTATGTCATAGCAAAAAGAATACCTTCAATATAAAAATTTTGCTATGGCCTATTCCAGTGGTGCAGAGAGCAAAAGTGAGTGTAAGCCTTGGATATCGAAGATGAAGTAAAACATGACAGTAGAAAACAAGGAAAATCTAACGAAGAAAATTGTGGAAAGATCCTTCCAATGCTCCTTGAGAATATAGAAAAAAAATTTGAACTCTTAACATAGAGGATGGACACATTGCTGCTAATTTTTTTTATCTTGTTCTTAAAATGAAACGAGCACAACTATGGGTTAAGAGAAAATAACAACTTAGATTTGAAAAGGATTCCTCCAGTCCTCTGAGAATAAGTAAGAAATTATCGGACAGCTGTGTCTTGTATTTCAATCAGTCTCGAAATAGAACTTTAGAACAGGAGCTTGAGTATAACTAGCTGCGGGAACCGTAGCTTCTATGTCCGTTTTTTTTTTTTTTTTTTTTTATTGTTATCGGACCATATTTTATGGTCCGATAACAATAAAAAAAATAAAAAATCGGACATAGAAGCTACGGTTCCCGCAGCTAGAGTATAACTTGCAAATTAAATTTGAGAAATATAAGTCCAAAACTTTTTTTTAAATAGATAGTACAATGAATCTTGAACTGTTATAATCATAGTTAGCAGTCTGGTGTCTTTTTTTTCCTTATCAATTTTCACTGCCAAAATACATGATGGCCACCAGGCAGTCATCTTGTTTTTTAGCTCACCTGGCCCAAAGGGCCAAGTGAGCTTATGCCATGGTGCAGCGTCCGGCGTCAATATTTTACTTTAAACAACTTCTTCTTAATAACCAAAAGGCCTAGGGTGATGATTTTTGGCCAGAAGCAAACTAGGATGAAGGGCTACCAAGTTTGTTCAAATAATTGACCTTCTGAGTTCACCTATTTTCAAGGTCACAGGTGTCAAATATGTTAAAAACTTTAAACAACTTCTTCTGAATAACCAAAATGCCCAGAGTGATGATTTATGGCTAGTAGCATGCTGGGATGAAGGGCTACCAAGTTTGTTCAAATGAATGACCTTTACTTATTTTCAAGATCACAGGGGTCAAATATGTTTAAAACCTTTAAACAACTTCTTCTCAATAACCGAAAGTCTTAGGATGATGATATTTGGCCAGTAGCATGCTAGGATAAAGGGCAACCAAGTCTATTCAAATGAATGATCTTTACTTATATTCAAGGTCACTGGGGTCAAATATGTTTAAAACTTTTATACAACTTCTTCTGAATAACCAAGAGGCCTAGCATAATGATATTTGGCCAGTAGCATGCTGGGATAAAGGGCTATCAGGTTGGTACAAATGAATGACCTTTACATAAATTCAAGGTCACAGGGGTCAAATATGTTTAAAACCTTTAAACGACATCTACATGTTAATTAGCCAAAGGCCAAGGGTGAAGATATTTGGTCATTAACAGGCTGGGATGAAGGGCTACCAATTTTGTCAAAATGAATGACCTTCGCCCATATTCAAGGTAACAGTGGTCAATATATGTTTAAATCTGTAAACGACTTGTTCTGTATAACCAAAAGGTCCAGGGTTATGATATTTTGCCAAAAGAATGCTGGGTTGGAAGACTTTAAACTCTGTTCAACCTAATGTCCTTGTTCGACTTTCAAGGTCACAGGCGTCATATGTTTAAATCTTTTAATAGGTTCTTATGAATCAAACACTGATATTCTGCCTGTAGCTGTATTTTAGTCCACTTTTAAGATTACAAGTGTGAGATTAATACCAGGTGAGCGATTCGGGCCCATTGGTCCAATCAGTCTAAAAATGAAACCTGCACAATGAAGGACTGGGAGTAAATCGGGCAAATTCAGATGACAAATTTTAATTGGCAAATCCAAGATGGCTGCCATATGGTCAATCATTTCTTCACCTGATCAGTCAACATGAAACATACACGAACAACAGACAAAAGGAAACCTGCAGGAGAAATTGGAGAAAGAAACAGCAGTTCTAGAGAAATAGTGATAACAAGAATTGTTTACAGAAGAATATCCCACCAATTGCTGAATGGAGGCTACACATATCTATTATCTCACCACCCTGCACTTCTGTCAGTACATACTATTTATATTCAAATAAAAAAATGGTTAACATAAACCTAAAATTTCAAATTAATTCTGTAGGAGTTGTCTTCCCTGGGATATACTGAGAAGATATCAATGGAATATTGGGAACATGTTGTTTTTGCATCTTTTTTTACATGATGCGTGTAGAAAATAAGTGGATTATCTTACATGTACTCTCATTGGAGGCAGATAACATTAAATATGCTGTCGCTTATTAATTAGTGTATTCACCTAAACATGATTCTGTCACTTGTTCAAAACTAGATACCTGTAGTCAAAAATTTTCATAAATCAAGTTTTGAATTGTAGAAAGTATTTTCTTTGTGTATTCCATTTATGAATCAATCTTTAATGAGTTGAATATCTCATCGTTTTGAACTACAATCAAGGTCTGTCATAAGGAAAACATTAAAATTAACAAATACTAATTATTAGTAAAAGTCGAACAATTACCTGTACAAGAACATCGAAATTTCAGGAGTCGTTTTAAAGGGCTGGTCGGGGGGAAAATTACAAAATAAATGGGTCTAAATGCGTTCTGTGGACTTCCAAAAGTTAAACCACGGCTATATGATGGTCGAGTTCTGCTTGCAATGTCAAGTTATGACCACTGAAATCTCGGGGAAGCCCCGCGTAAATTTAGCGCAGATCTATTTATATATGTCATGTGGTTGTTTCGAAAGTGAGGCAGTGAAGATAACAATAGCACGCCGCAATGTGCCATGTCAGACTCAACTAGCGGACAAGACAGCAATACTAAACGTAAATAATTGTTTTCAAAGGTCATGTATGATGCAAGTGTAGTATTCCTACCTATATGTTGTTATATATAACGGTATTAATACCTCGTGCCTGTCATGACTTGCATGCATCTTTTTCTTTCGCCGCAATGTTTACATTTGGCCTTGTTGATGACGCACATGGGGTAACATTACATCACTGATCTGGGTCAATTGAGAGTTTTAGGCTGTCAGGTGACGATTTAGGATTTCTTTAATATAATTATAATTTTTACTCTAAGGGAGTGAATTTCAACAAAATTTGAATCAGTATATTTCAAAAGAAAGTATTTTAAACATGTGTAAGCCATTTTAGAAAATATGACATTTTTTCCCCGACCAGCCTCTTTAACATCTAAGCATACAAACTACAGTGTATAAATACTATGCTTTTTGTTCTATTCAAATTAAATCTAATATTTATAGATTTCAAATAAAAAGACGAGATTAGTTTTTGTGTACAAAAACATCTCGTCTTTAATGGTTTAAAAGTTATGGCCCGGACACATTCCTGATATCTTTGCACTTATTTGACCTTTGACATATTTTTAGAAAAACTTTGTCATCGCTTTACCAACTTCATTCCTCAACAGACTTTTATGAACATTAATACAAGTGTTTGATATGGCAATGCCTTGAACAACTTCTCCTTTCGGGTTTCTACTTGAAGGTCACTGATACTATTTTAAGAAAAACGTTATCTGTCTATCAACTACATTTCCTCCTACATATGTCACAATGTGTGAATGCGAAGGGGTTTGTATCACTTGTAATGCCCTGTTTGACCTTATCATTAAAGGAACTGCCTACTGCTAAATGATGAAATACATATATGAACAAGTTCTAATTGAATTAGGGACCATTACAGAAGTCATCAAGGCTGACCCCATAGTTCCCAATGATGCTTGGATAGAGTTTATATATAATTACAATGCCATCATATACTTGCATACTAATTAAAGTTTAAGCTAAATTAGACACAGGTACCACCTTGGTGTACACCTTTAAATGTTTGAGACAATGTTTTTTACCTTTGACCTTGAAGTTAAGACCAGTGACCTAATTACACTGCACGCCCGGACATCATGTGTGGATGATGAAGGGATACATCAAGTTTCATCAAGATATCTTTAACAGTTTAAAAGTTACGACCCGGACAAAATCATATTATAAGAACTAGTAATAATACAATTTGTTACACTTCAAGTGAATTTCTAGCTATTTGATTGGTTAGGAGAAAATTAAACAAAAATCTCTGTCGACCTCCGAAAATACATTGGTTTAAGGGGCGCAGGTGATATTGCCATGAGACAGAGAAAAATATCACATGCACGAAAAATGTGCATTCCGGGTTCTTCACAGTGGCCATTTTTCACCGCTTTGTTTCCCCACCGTGATGGTCACAAGAACGTTTGACGGCAACAGCCAATTTTATCAAGCGCCGTTGCGATAGCGATTGTTAACACCAAACTATCAACAAACAAGATGTCATTATCGAGGTTAGCTGCCCTTTCTGAGCTACATATGGATGTGTAGATTTTTTTTTTTTTAAGATAAATATTTATTTAAAGACTTGGTGTAACAAAATAGAAATGAACAGTTTAAACAGAATCTCAAAGATGTTCAGAGCTAAAGTATCCATATTTTGATTTTTAGCCCACCATCCATCTGATGGTGGGCTATTCAAATCACCCTGCATCCATGGTCCGTCTTTAAACAATTCTTGTTATCGGTATTTCTCCAGAAGTACAAGAGGGATCTTTCTCAAATTTTATATGTAGGTTCCCCTTGGTCCTTAGGTAGCAGAGTACAGTAGAAATGGCTTGCCCCTAAAAATAAAGGGCATGTCTTGGATAAACATGGATAGCGCATTCATCCTGCACAACACACCTACATATATATATATATATATTTATAAACTACATTTTGAATACAGTTTTTAGCTCACCTGCCCGAAGGGCAAGTGAGCTAATGTCATTGTGCGTCGCCCGTCAATTTTTCCTTTAAACAACTTCATCTGAAGAACAGACAGGCCTAGAGTCATGATATTTGGTTGAAAGCTTTGTTGGTAGGAGCCCGACAAAGTTTGAGAACTAAAATGACCTTGACCTACTTTCAAGGTCACATGGGTCAAATATGTCAAACACTTCAAACGACTTCTTCTGAAAAACTGAAAGGTATAGAATCTTTATATTTGGCTGGTGGGTTACTTGGATAGAGCATAACAAAGTTTGAGAATGAAAATGACTTTGACCTACTTTCAAGGTCACAGGGGTCAAATATGTCAAATGCTTCAAACAACTTCTTCTGAAGAACTGAACGATATAGAATCTTTATATTTGATTAATTGCTTCCTGGGATAGAGCCCAACAAAGTTTGAGGATGAAAATGACTTTGACCTTCTTTCAAGGTCACAGGGGTCAAACGTGTCAAACACTTCAAACGACTTCTTCTGAAGAACTGAAAGGTATAGAATCTTTATATTTGGCTGGTGGCTTCCTGTAACAGAGCCCAACAAAGTTTGAGGATGAAAATAACCTTGACCTACTTTCAAGGTCACATGATTCAGATATGTCTAATGATTAAAACGACCTCTTCTGAAGAACTGAAAGTTATAGAACCTAAATATTTGACTTGAAGCTTCCTGGGAAAGAGCCCAACAAAGTTTGGGAATGAAAATGACCTTGACATACTTTCAAGGTCACAGGAGTCAGATATGTCAAACTTTTAGAACAACTTCTTCTGAAGAACTGGAAGGTATAGAACCCCTTAATATTTGGCTGGTTATTTCCTGGGAAAGAGCCAAACAAAGTTTGCGAATGAAACTGACCTTCCCTTACTTTCAAGGTCACAGCGTTCAAATATGTCAAACGGTTCAAACTACTTCTGAAGAAGAATTAAAAGGCATAAAATTATAATATTTGGCTGGTGGCTTCCTGGGATAGCTAGAGTTCACCAAAGTTTGCGAATGAAAATGACCTCAACCTACTTTAGAGGTCACAGAGGTCAACAACATTTTAAAGGATTTGTTCTTAAGAACTAAAAGAAATGGATTCATAAGATTTGGCTGGTAGCTTTTTGGAATAGAGCAAACCAATTTGAGAAGGAAAATGACATTGACCTACTTACAAGGTCACAGGAAAACATATATCAAGCAACTTCTGAAGAAGAATCAAAAAGCATAGAATCTTACAATAATATTTTGCTGGTAGTTTCAACAGATGGAGTCAACAAAGTTTGCGAGGGAAATATTTTTAGTGCAATATAATATTTAATGGGTATGACTGCTTTAAAATTCAGGTGAGCGATATAGGCCCTCTTGGGCCACTTGTTTTAAAAGAATGATTGTTTTTCCAAAAAGTGATTTCCCCAGATTTGGGACTTGGGAAACCATGGTTACCACATCAAAAAACACCAAAATATGCAAAATATCATGACTTTTAACCCAAAATTTGACCCCCACAAGTAGATTTTTTTCTCTCTTAAAACCTGTCTGAAATTAAATATCGCCTCTTTGGTAACAGAAATACTCACGTTTACGATAGGTCATTCCGGTGGATTTTTCACAATATTTACACACAGATTAGTAAATGCCCAAAACTGTAGTATCAAACCAAATTCGATTTATTTTTTTGAAAAATTATGAAGCCCACATAGTCAACTTCATCATCTATATGCCAATTTTAGTGCTGATTTTTTTTTTTTTACTTTTACAGGGGTTATTCATTGTATAAAAATATCACCCATGGCCACCGTACGCTACTGTACTCTGCTACCTTAGCTGTGCAAGGCAATTTTGAGACTGATCGGATAAACAACATGGCCGACAGGTAGCCATCTTGGATTTTGATAGTGAAAGTTTGTTATCGCTATTTCTCCAGAAGTACCGGATGGATCTTTCTCAATTTTTTTTGATGTAGGTTCCTCTTGGTCATTAGCTGTGCAGGGCAACTATGTCGCCGAGACTTGATTGAGAGTGATCTAAATACTTTGCAATATACCCTTTTTTTGGTAATGTAGGTATGCTTCAAGTGTCATCAAGATATGCTTTACTATTCAGAGTATTGGGGAGATGCAGGGCTCTCAGTAGATCACTAAAAGCAGGAATAATCCTGGAGGGGGTCAGTTGCCCCTCAGAACTGAAATTGACACCTCCATGTTAAAATTTAATTTTAATTTTACGTAGAATGGCCCCTCTTAAATTTGATATTGACTAGAAATTGCTGAAATGGCCCACTCATCTTCCAGGATTTTCCCTGTAGAATTATGTTTTTGATTCTCAACAAGAGGCCTGAATCGCTCACCTGGTATTAATCTCTAGTGGACTAAAATAACAGCTACAGGCAGAATATCAGTGTTTGATACATAAGAACCTATTAAAAGAATTAAACATATGACGCCTGTGACCTTGAATGTCGAACAAGGACATTAGGTTGAACAGAGTTTAAAGTCTTCCAACCCAGCATGCTTTTGGCAAACTATCATAACCCTGGACCTATTGGTTATACAGAACAAGTCATTTAAAGATTTAAACATATATTGACCACTGTGACCTTGAATATGGGCAAAGGTCATTCATTTTGACAAAACTGGTAGCCCTTCATCCCAGCCTGTTAATGACCAAATATCATCACCCTTGGCCTTTGGCTAATTTAGATGAAGTTGTTTTAAGGTTTTTGACATATTTGACCCCTGTGACCTTGAAAATAAGTAAAGGTCATTCATTTGAACAAACTTGGTAGCCCTTCATCCTGGCATGTTACTGGCCAAATATCATTATCCTAGGCTTCTTAGTTTTTCAGAAGAAGTTGTTAAAAGATTTGTTAATACAATTGACCCCTGTGACCTTGAAAATGGACGAAGGTCATTCATTTGAACAAACTTGGTAGCCCTTAATCACAGCATGCTACTGGCCAAATACCTTAACCCTAGGCCTCTTGGTTATTCAAAAGAAGTTGTTTAAAGGTTTTAAACATATTTGACCCCTGTGACCTTGAATATTAGTCAAGGTCATTCATTCGAACAATCTTGGTAGCCCTTCATAACAGCATGCTACTGGCCAAATAGCATCATCCTAGGCCTTTTGGTTTTTGAGAAGAAGTTGTTTAAAGGTTTTTAACATATTTGACCCCTGTGACCTTGAATATAAGTAAAGGTCATTCATTTGAATAAACCTGATATCCCTTTATTCTAGCATGGTTCAGGCCAAATATCATTAGCCTAGGCCTCTTAGTTATTCAGTAGAAGTTGTATAAAGATTTTTTAAGACAATTGACCCCTGTGACCTTGAAAATGGACGAAGGTCATTCATTTGAACAAACTTGGTAGCCCTTCATCCCAGCATGTTACTAGCCAAAAAGCATCACTCTGGGCATTTTGGTTATTCAGAAGAAGTTGTTTAAAAGTTCTTAACATATTTGACCCCTGTGGCTTTGAAAATAGGTGAAGGTCATTTATTTGAACAAACTTGGTAGCCCTTCATCCTAGTTTGCTTTTGACCAAATATCATCACCCTAGGCCTTTTGGTTATTAAGAAGAAGTTGTTTAAAGTAAAATATTGACGACGAACGCTGGACGACAGACGACTGACGGACGGACGCTGCACCATGTAAGCTCACTTGGCCCTTCGGGCTAGGTGAGCTAAAAATGAGTTTTCACTCTTGGGTTTGAAAACACATACACATATCTATTTAAAATATGTTGTGACTCAGCAAATTTCAAGGAAATGTTGATGTGACTTCTGAAATTGCTAAATGTCAACGGCCGGCTAAAAGCCCTGACTGACATAATAAACAACAAAAGCAGAATAATTTCTTCTTAAAAATAACAATTTTAATAATGCTAATTCCATATATGGTACAGGTGATGGAGTTTAGCAGTATAATATACATACATCATCAAACATATACAAAGCCGTATACAAACAACACAGTTGATTTCACAAGCCAATGGTGGGACATTGTACCAGACCAGTAAGATCTCGTTGGTACGTAACAAAAACACAACAAACCCTTCTAGGGGCCTCGTCACAATTCCCTTGGGGTAATATAAAGGACACACAGCCCCTTTTGGGGCGGGTCACAGCTAACTCAATTTACACTGATGTAATTCAAAAACATTCAATTATGCTTCAACAACATTTTCACCACTTTTGTGTTAACATCATACATTGCTAAATACTTGTAAATTCAATACATTGATCTGTTAAAACTTACTAGAGATCTTTTTTTGTTACAGATATTAAGAAATTCAGAAAAACGTATCAATTGAAAAGCATTGAAATTGTACTTTTATTTTTGTACATATAGCAGGGATGGTGATTTTTTGGTCATATTTTTGATTATATCAAAGAATTCAATTTTTATCAAAATGATCTTTAAAGTGACAATAACGGTGGTCAGAAAGAGGACAGAGTCTACTAATATAGTACAACCTCTGAAATACCGATACACAACGCTACATCTAGTACATTACACGATAGGGAGTTGAAAAAGTATCATGATTATTTACACATATGACGGGAAACATAGATCTATGTTGCTGAAGATGAAACTAATTTACAAAAGATTCACGGGTCAGATAGAGAGGTTGTGTGTGTGTTTGAATTAAATTCAATTAAACTTGTTACCCTAACAATGATAATCTGAAAACGTTGCTTCCTAGAGGGAAATGTTCAAGATAGAATATAACTTGGAGAAACCAAACCTGGATCTCGAGGTTCTTTAAGTGCGTCTTTCCACAAATTATTCAGGAACGAAAATACTCCAGGACATAGTTGTTTGACAAATTGCTAGGGGAAATATGCAATATTTAACCTTATATAAATGCACAATAACCATGATTATCTACAAGAGGGTACATTTGATACATAAAACAGCTCCGTCTTGCAATGCTAGAGCGAGCTCTCTCTCTCACACAAAAAACATAACAAATATATATATATATATATATATACTGTATATACAAACAGCAACTATCAGAGTGGTTTCAAAGCCATATTAACAAAGCAAATAAACATTAAATATTCCATTTTCTAAATTGCACATGAAGCATTTCATTAACAAGGTACATCAAAGTAAATCGTTTAAAAATTGTGAAACATACACCAACAGACGGGAGAGATACTTACAATTACTTTACACATAAACAAAAATTGTGTAACGAAAGAAAAATGGTTTTAAAATATTTGTCATATCACAATGAACATATTTCAACATAGCTTCTGTTTCTAAATGAAATTATTTAAAAATCCGATGTTTTAAAAACAAAACTTCAGTGACAGAACACAAACCGTAGGCAGTATTTTAAACTGGAGTTATGTCCCTTCCATCAGTAAAACGAGCAGTGCACATGGGAAGAAAAAAAGCACCAGATTTGTTTTATTCTTTTTATTCTTAAAAGTTAAATAAACCCTTTAACTTGTCTGAGATTCTTTCTGTGATGTTGGTATTTGACCAGCAAACAACATGTCAAGCACTTAAATACCACTGACTCCACATATTGGTAAATATTTTTCTATAATCAGATCTAAAAGCTAATCTATTGAACCAAGAAAAATGTCTCTAAATATTTATCAAAAAAACCAAGGATTAATTCATTGCTAAAAACTAATCAATCGAAGGTGAATTCAGCTGGCATTGCCTTCATGAACTAAGATAGATTGCATTGAAATCTATTTGCAAATATACAAAAGAAAATCATCTGTAGCAAAATGGCACATCATAATTAATGGTTATGCATTATGAAAACATAGGTATACTGTTATAAATACATATACAAGCATATAGATTGATCATTTAAAACTACTCCATCTCGACCTATATTTAGTACAAGGAATCAACACTTCACTCATTCTTATAAAATCACACTTACAGTCTATCATGAAGACATCTCCAGCCAGTCGTTTGGGATTTGTATAACATGATATATAAAGAAAATAAAAAATAAAATTTTCTGACACCGTTATAATTTTTGTTTAACAATGTTGAAAATCATGACAATTATTGAATTTACTTCATTAACTAGAAGTATTTTTAATTAATTTTTTTTGAGATTTTTTTTCTGATAATAGTTTAATTTACTTCATTTACTGAAAGTGTTTTTATTTTCTTTTTATAAGTTTTTTTCTCTGACAATATCATCATTGTTCAAATGGATAAATGAGGAGAAATACTTTTCAAACAGTCTTATGCGACAATGGACATGGCTCAAAGATGCAAGTACATATCAACTATGTACAATAACAACTATGACATCTAGAATAGTACACAGTTATATACCAAGAGGGAAACGGCTATGAAATGTGCACTGGTTGACCCCTGAAGGTCAGGGAAACTCGAGGGTCAAATGTCAAAGCCAGTATCACAAGTATCATGATTGAGACCTCAGGGTTAATGTGAAGCCACTAACAGTGGTCAAGGCCAAAAGGTCATGCACCATGTCAACATCAACTTCCATGTTTGAAGTGACCTTAAGGTCAAAGTTACTGGCACATGACCTTTGATCCAAGGTCATGACAAACATTTTGAAACAATATGAAACTGAGTATTCTTGACTCCAGGTAAAGTACACATCCTGTTATATTGTGTGTTAATATGTCAAGATCTGCATGGTCAACTAGACACAATATACATATAACAGATATACCACTATAATATATACACCTCCCACTCCAAGCTACACTGATCGATCGAATCAAAGCTGGTACCTCTCTTCAATATATAAATATGCTGCTAACAAACCAATGCTGCTAGTACAATGTAATAAATAATGAATAAATAACAGTGACATCACAGTGTGACACCCTTCTTCAACAAATACTCTTCCACTTGCTTAACTCATTCACCCCTGAAGTTTCATAATGAAGTATTCCACCCTTTGAATTGGATGAGTTCAAATGTGTCTTCAGGGGTGAATGAGTTAATGGTCAGTGGTAAAATGTAACTATATCATACCTGATTGAGATTTAATTCGCAATTGAAAATTTGAAAATGTATAAATTTCATTAAAAGAATTGTGCTTTATGAAATTAAATTCTGATATTTTTTTTTTTTTTTAACTTGGTACCTTAATCATAAATTCTATTTTGTAAACAAATACGATCATAAAAAGTGGTCATTTGTTTTTGCCCTAGGCTACTTCAATATTATTAAACTTGTCAAAATCTTATGTCTTTCTCCGAAACACTCATATAGCCTTTTGTTTATTTGACAGTCTGTTTCAATAGATACAGGACAACTTTTGGATATTTTAAACATATTTTGAGGAGCGGAGGACGATGGGCATGAAAACATAGGTTGTGGTGAGGTTAAGGTGATGTGTTATGTTACATGACTATAAACATGTTCTAATATAAATGTCTGCAAATAATGTTTAAAAGTGTTGTACATGAAACATGAATTAATATGACAGATAATTGGCAAGCTAACTTTGGTACACATATTTCTCTCTCAGTATCTTGGGTCGTGAATTGAAGCAACAGGTGATCATAATATGCATTTCATTTAATTCACAGAACAATTTTTCTCTTCTATAAATTTCTCAAATAATTTTTTTCAACACGAGCACGAGCAAATAACAAAATCCATACATATGTAATTATCATATAATTTGAATCATCATCACCTTATAACACTTACATTCATCCAATCGTCATGGTAACAAGGTGTATTTGTCCAATACCAAATTTGATTTAAATTATTACTGGTATTCAAATTTTTTGAGGGGGGGAAGGGGGGTGCAAAATGTTTTCTTTTGATCTTCCTCAAAAACATTTGCCATGTTTCGCAAATGTAAAAGATGTCCCTTTACTCCTACAGTTCATAAAGAGCAAGTCAGTATCCAAGGGGTGTCATATCCTATTGCCTAGCCCAAGAGGTAGCAGGCTTACAATTATTGTGTCCAGCAAATATTGCCGGTTAGTTTTTGCAGTAATCACAACACAGATGGAAGCACTCCCTATCCACAATCTACTTCTTGCATTGATCTTGTCTTTTTACAAACGCAATCTATCTCGAACAAAAAACTAAATTCTTTAAGCGTTCATCAGATCTAAGTCTTCAAGATACACAAGTGTTTTCCTGTTTGAATCACTAACTCCTGACAAAGTGAATATTGTCAGACGGTCAGCAAGGAATTGGCTTAATCTGTCAAATCTTTCAGTTTTGGAACGTATTGTCACCAGTGTCAGATAGCCATATTTTAAAATGAACAAGTATTGTCTTACATATATATTCATAACTTTCATCCACTTGCGACGAAAAACTAACATCTGTCGCACACAAAAAATGAAATTTGTCAATGATTGTTGTGAGAACTAAGCCGTCGACTCTTTGAGGTTATCGAAGTAGTCAACGAGCTGGTCATAGGTCATGCCCATGGCCTCATAGTCCCACTCCGGGTCCAGGTGCTGCTGCAGCTGACGATGCTGGTTATTGTTCTCTATCTCCTCGCCTACTGCAGACGTAGCGTTTGAAGCCTCCAACAGTGGATTTGCCGTGATACGGATGCTGCATTCCGACCCTTTTATGGTTGACACAAAACTGCTTCGATTACTGGCCTCAGCTGAATTTTGTCCACTGCTGTTTTGACTACTTCCACCAGCCACTGGCGTGTGGTTACCATTGAAGTCCTCGGCTGGCATCAGCGTCTGTGAACACTTAGTGTTGATGGCGTTACGTTCCAATGTAGCACGCCCTATCCACACCCAGTCGTTAGCTTGGGCTACAGTCTCCAATCGCTTACCTTTAGGTACATGCTTGCGTTTATAACGAACCATGAACACAATGCAATTGACAAGAAACACACAGATAGCTACACAGAACACTGCCAGCAGGACATACATTCCAATTTCCAGTGGAGATAACATAGCTATTTCCTCCTGGCGAACAGGTTCTTGTTTTGTTTGTGGACTTTCCTGAGTCCGCAGATTCTCAGCCAGGTCAATACCAATAGGAATTACACCAGAATCACTTTCATCTTTTTTCGAGAATTTCTTTCCAAATTTACCATCCATATCTATGTTTTTGTCTTTGTCACTGATACGTGGGAAATCGTAATGAGACTTTTTACTGTTGATACTGATGCCGTGAGAGTCTCTTCGATCACTCGCTCTATTATCGTCGTAGTGACCATCACTGACCAGGCGATCATGATATAAACGGTTGCCAGGAGAGAAATCAGAATCCACGACTACGTAGCTCACGGATACAGACCTTGACCTTTTTCTAGCACATTCGTTACCCAGCTTTAGCATGACCTTAAGAAGTTCCCCACGACCTTGACCCAATGCGACGATGCGTGGCTGGTACTGTTTGGTGTAGGGGGCCATGCCAATGACGTAGTGGTTAAGAGTGGATACATCCAGGACGTAATCTTCCCCTTCCACTTTCTCCAGGGGGAACTGTGTGCCGTCGGAATATTGTATAGAAATGTCCAACACTGCCTCCTGTGAAACAAACAGGACAGAAGGTTTATTTATAGGAAAAACAGTATTTTTGAGTAAATGGATGCACCAGAAAGTTGGTAAATGTTAACTTGAACTGGTGAAGTAGGTCAAAGTTAACTGATGCAGGAAGGTACGTCAAACTTAATTTTACAGGGAAAGTAAGTGAAAATTTACTTTACACAGAGCTACTAGGCCAAAGTTAACTTAATAAGGGAAAAGAAGGATAAACATGTCTTAAACTCAGGGAAGTAGGTCAAATTTAATTGATAAAAGAAAAGTAGGTCAAGTAAGCTCCCATACAAAATAACTTGTGTTCATGCATTTATCCAATCATTGTTATTGGTAAGTTAAATATTGCTAGAATGGCATCATAAATCCCCAATAACTCATTCACCCCTGAAATTTAATAATGTACTATTCCAACCTTTGAATTTGAAGAGTTCAAATGTGTTTTCAGGGGTGAATGAGTTAAACCTGTCTGAAAAACACTCACCTGGTACTTGGTGTGCAGTCTACCCTGTATGTGTGAGATTGCTGTCAGGGCTCCAGGGATCTCATGAGAAATGTGGATCTCTAGAGTTATCCCAGTAACCAAGGTGATGATGAGTCGCTCGACTGAAACCTTGTCGTTGCTGACACGGACCTCCTTACCACCAATCAGTCTACGCATCGGGGTCATAACCTGATTTAAGAAAGATATAGCAAATCAGGCAAATTGTCTTGTGTGAATATCCAATAAATTTACCTAAATTATTTCAAATAAGTAGTACCCGGTACATAAAAAAAAAAAAAAAAAAGTAGTACATAAAAAAAACAATGTCTAGAAGCAATCCAAACTCTTGAAAAACTTTGGTATCAGAACTGCACAAAGGGACAGAACTCCAATACAAGACTCCATCTCAGTATCCGACACTCTAGAATCCCAAGACGTACTTACATATAAAATTTCGTAATTTTAGGTAATCGAGTATACAAGATATGCCACGAAGAAAGTGATGCACTGTGACCCGAGTCCGATATCTGTATACCTTACCCCTATAACCCCTGGATGACCTTTGTATACTTACTTGTACTTCTGTCCTGCCAACACTTTGACCCTGGATGACAGCATTGTTCAGACTAACCACGCGAGGGTCAGTTACTCGGAGTTTGTCCAAGACCATATCAGTGACAGTTAGCCAGGCCTGTTTGCTCTTAAAGAAGTCTGGCCCATTTTGCGTGGATATATAAAACTGGGCGTACACCTCTACCGTGGCCTGTTGGTGACGCAGCTGACAGCTCCCTCCCCCACCGCCGCCGCCACGAGAGAACTTCCGATATTTTTTCATCGAAGGATACTGATCAACAAGTCTTTTATTCCTGGTTCTAAAAAAAATAAAACAAGGCTGACATGAATACATGGTATACTTATAATGTCAATGGTAGGATTATATACACATCTGAAGTACATATGTACACTCTAATGCACAAAAGACTGTTCGAAGACGGGACAAAGGTAATGCTGGCGTCACAATAATAATTTAAGTTGTACAAAATACTAGCTTCTTTCTATCAACTTAATTTGGGAGAATTTCTCTTTAGCTCATTCCGTAGAGTGTCAGACTAGAAAAAACAGAGGTCCCAGGTTCGACCCCTAGCGAGGGCATTGAAAAATGACTTTAATTACTTTTGTTACATAAACTAGGCACAGAATGAGCTAAAGAGAAATTCCCTAAAGTTGGTAGGAAGCGGCTAATATTTTACCAGTATGAAAGAATTAACATAAGATGTTTAATCTCACGGCTAACTGATGTTTGAATGAACACAATTAACAGTTCTTACCTGCCCCTGCGGTTGCCGCGGGACTGATGTCGCTGTGATACTTTCCAGCCTCGAACCTGACTCAGTTTGTCGTCTGATAACTGTACATCCAGGTGTTCAGCAGGTATCCATACTCTAACATTGATGAATGCTGTATTGCGTCCAGACTTGGTGATGATGGTGACATTGTGTGAGCCTCGCCTCTCCGTTCCGTCCACAAACACTGACGAGCAGTTGGATGCCACCTAGTAATGATAAAGGTAGATCACTCCGTTACTATATACACAGAATCAATTCTTTCTTTCTTGGCCCAAGATAATCGGTCACACTAATATTTTCTGTATCTTAATCTTGTCCAATTTGTAACAAAATACCAAAACTTACAATTTACATACATAATCATCTAATTGGGGAAACATCAGATGTACACCTTCCACCCATTAGTTTGTTTGCAATTTACAGGTTCTAGTGTTGGAGGAAACCGTAGTAGATAGAGAAAGCCACGGACCCATGGCTAGTACCTGGCCACTGCCCCATGTAGGCCTCGAACTGGCAAATAGTGGCGGAGGGCTAGTTTTCGCCTTAACCACTCGGCCACCTTGACAACGGCCCTGCTAACCTATTATACATCAACATGACTATCTACTAGGCAGTGGTTGACAGGATCCTATCAGGCAGTTCAATGCTTATATTGACTGTTTTGTGGGTCAGAAAAGAAATTCACCGACCAAAAATCAACATTTTGTTCAAATTAAATTGAATATATATCATGTTTGATTTTACAGTCAACAGAACAGTTTCAAGGCAGGTTGGTGTTATCAAACATTACCTTAAGGAGGTCATGGAGATGATAGGGGTCAAATATCAGGTCATGGCATTCCTAGCCAATTAAATGCCAACAAAATGAATGGTACAGTTATATTGTGGCATTGCCAAGCAGTGATTAACCCTTTCACCTTTGTAGACCATAATGGACTCATCCATATCAATGCATGGTAGAGCCTACTAAAGTTACATAGGGGTGAAAGGGTTAACATAGAGATGTCAGCAATCTGGTGTCATGCACCTCCTACGTTACTAAATTTATGGAATGAAAAGCAATGTAAGGTCACAGTTTTCACTTCAGGTCATACAACAAGTACATGTAAATAAGTAAGGCCATCCTGTCTCCAAGATTTCCATGATAAATTTGATTTCCATTAAATTCCATGATTTCTAGGGATTCTCCATGTACAGCTGTGGAAAAGCCACGGAAAATATTGTATGTCCCTTTTTGCCATGGAATTCCATGGAACATCATGAAAATACATGGAAAAAATATATAAGTATTTCCATGGAAATGGAAACAGGCAATTTCATCATAGAAAATGAAATGGTAAAATAACTTTTCTAAAAATAATTTTTAGACTTAAATATCTTCAGCTTCGGACTTGTTCCAAGACAGATTTATTGATAGTTTGCATGTCAAAGTTCAAACTACAAGAACATCCCATTATAGTCGATGTAAAACCATAATTTGCAGGTCAAAGGTCAAACATCAAGTACCTCTCATAACAGTCCTACTAGTAATGTATAGGGGAGGAGATAATATTAACCCCACTGTCGATTGTCAAAGTTTAAATGTCAAAGGTCAAAGATCAGTTGCATACCATAATAGTTGTACCACTTTACCAGTGATGAGGAGATGCTGGAGGGATGAGATATACTGAAGTACCACCTGCTTGGGAGTGTGTGAAACTTAAATGTATTGCCCATACATCCTCTACTTGCTCCCCACACAGTTGTTCCCCATGGCTGGCTCTACCTTGGAAAGTGTCCAAAACAGTTTAGAAGGTCACACACCTTCAGTGTACTTCTCATTTGTATGTTAATAACAGCGAGTGGAGATCAACACATCCTCTACCACTGTATGTAAAACAGCAAGTCTAGGGTGAGAAAGGTTGCCTACTCTATAGGCATTATCACAGAAACTCTGAACCTCAGGAAATAGAGCGTTATTTCAACAATATACTTAGGTGTAACACATAAGACAGCTTTCAGTGAAATGAAAATACATAAGGAAAGAGAAAGAAAATTGTTACAAATTTGAATGATTAAATCTTCAAAAGTGTGCATGATTGACGACCAAATATTTGGAATATGATTCAATGTCCAGATGTCTGTTACCTGTATTAACAGTTTTTTGTTTCAATGTAAGTCGGGAAAAGTGCTATGGACCCAAGTTTTTACAGCTTCAGTATCCTATTCCTATGTGTAACGATGACCTACTTTGAATCGTACTTTTGAGATGGTTTAATGTTGCATGTGTTAGGAAATTTTTGGATGACACTCAAGCACAATAAAGGAAAAACTCATATGGTAAACTTTTCACTTTTTCCGACTCAATTTCCCCGATTTATGTGTAGTCAAACAGTTTAATTATAATTGATTTTAAAAAGCAAAGACCATTACAGGAAGTGTTTTATTTAATGTAGATTGTATGTTTTTATTTTATGATTACGCTGATAAATTGACCAGAGCCTGAGACACTAAGTGTGACTATGATGGGGAGTGTGTATTTGTGTACAGTAAACCGGAGTAGTCTGATTTACAATGATGTGGTTACAGCTTTATTAGGCCAAACCATAGAAATTAAGATATCTGTTTCCTGTAATTGAATCTTAGAATATTTCAGTTATGTCATGCTCTGATGAAAAGTACAGTATTTGTTTTATAATGTCTTAGTAATAATTGTTTTGCCTTTGTATCTTTTATAAAGTAACAGGAAACAAGTATTTGATGTTTGCTTGTCCTACTAATCATTCCTAAATTAAATGTAATATAGTTCCTACCAGTAAACAAACTAGGCCAAGTAAAGTATATATCTGTTTCTTTTAACAATCTGTGGAAGGATTATATAAAAAGATTATACAAAAATATTTGAGTTTGGAATTTATTGTGCTTTAAATGCCTATATATAATTTTGAAAATTAACCGTGTTTTTAATCAATATTTTAAATATTCCTCTTCCAATGGGGCAACATCTATCTAAGGTCGTTAAGATCTGATGAATCGTTCAAGCGATACCATTTGAAAATAAAGTCACAAAATTTCATTCTACTAAGTCTTATAACTGCTCTGACCTTGACCTTTGACTTTGTATCCAAAAGTCTATATAGTGACCTGCCTCTCCCCAAGGGGCATCATCCATACCAGTTTGCTTGAAATCTGATTTAATATTTTAGAGGAAGAATAAAGAAACCAACATTTGCTCAACATTTCACTCTATTTATAATCACTGTGACCTTGACCTTTGACATTGTGACTTCAATATCAATAGGCTTCTTCCCCTCCACTTGGGGAATTATCCATCTAAACTTAGTTTACATAAGATGAATTATTTAAAAGACATCATCCAGAAACTTAAGTTTCAGAACACACGAGACACAACTGACAAAGCACCAGCTATGCTCCCGAAAATCTTTCAAAGTAAGGATTGATATATATATATAGAAGGTAGCATAATGGGAAACACTGTTTTTTCAGTTGGCCCTAAAACCTGTTTCTGTGATTTAGAAAATATATTTGGAGAAAAAGGAAAGATTATCTTCTCTAAAAACCACAGATAAATAAGAGACATTTGATCTTGCAGAGCGTCGTCTTGATAAGTCACCTGAAGATGTTCGTGCACTGACTTTTCTTAGTATATTCTATTATTTTGAAAACTTTTATAAAAAGAACTCAAATTTCCCAAACCTTGTGGAAAATCTCTTCAAAAAACTCTTTTCTCCAACTGTGCAATTTCCAATTTTGTAACGAAAATTATTTTGTGAATGTTCGTGTGATGAAGCCAGGACTGACCTTGACAGACGTAAGCTTCTTTTCGATATATTGTTTTGTGGATGGATCAATACCAAATTAACAGAGACGATAACGTACATGCAATGGAGCTACTATCTTCCAGGAGGCATAACACTGGTTTACAGTGACAGGTTCGATCAATACCGTACCAACACGCACGTTTATACATACATACAGGGTTCCATCACCCGCCTCTCTCTCAGAACACGCCCAATGAAGCAACTCAACTGATGGCAAAACCTTACATGTAGACTGAAAAAAAGCAACCCAACTGTGCTAATGAACCGTTTGTAAACATACATAAAGCTCAAGGTGATCTACTTTACTCAGGCTTATCTACAACCTTGTCATTAATTGAAAATGTCCCGACAAACCTCACACATTTGCATACATTCTGAAGTTGAAGTATATTTTCGCCATAAAATTACATGTTTGAAAATATTAATTTCTACATTATTAAATGTTGAATGTGACCTGAAATATCCACAAAGGGGAGAGGAGGGAGAGGAGAGAGGCATGTTTGCCGAGTGGTTAATGTGCTTTATTGTCTATGATCACTAGCCCTCTGGGTCACGGGTTCAAGGCCATTGTGGAGCAGTCATCAGGTACTGGCACAAGTCAATCGTGTTTCTATGGGTATTCCAGTTTTTCTCCGCCACCAAAACCTTATGACCCCAGCTGTTAATAGGACATACACATGAACAAACCAAATCCACAAAAAGATTCTAAGCAAAACACTGGTGACCTTTTGACCTTGAAATTATCTTTCTGTCTTACATAACCTAGAACTTTGTATCCACTCATTCACCAATTTGTAAAATTTCTAACTGAGATGTGGTTGAGTATTTTCCAGCTGTAAGAAAATTCATAACAAAGCATGTATGACCTAATGACTCTGACTTGCTGTTACTGTTGAAACTGTTAGGTCATCAAATATATTGTCAATAGGAGAACAATCAGGTCATCAAGTCAACTGTTACCTTGGAAACAATCAGGTCACCAAATCAACCGTTAACATGGAAACAATCAGGTCATCAAGTCAACTGTTAACATGGAAACAATCAGGTCATCAAGTCAACTGTTAACATGGAAACAATCAGGTCATCAAGTCAACTGTTACCATGGAAACAATCAGGTCATCAAGTCAACTGTTACCACGGAAACAATCAGGTCACGAAGTCAACTGTTACCACAGAAACAATCAGGTCATCAAGTTAACTGTTACCACAGAAACAATCAGGTCATCAAGTAGACCGTTTCTATGGAAACAATCAGGTCATCAAGTCAACTGTTAACATGGAAACAATCAGGTCACCAAGTCAACTGTTAACATGGAAACAATCAGGTCACCAAGTCAATTGTTACCATGGAAACAATCAGGTCATCAAGTCAACTGTTAACATGG